TTATTTTTAGCTGCCTGTAATACAGATGAAAACAATGGCACTATTGATGATGCATTTATTATAAACAAATGCAAATGCAAGCGAAGTTTAGACACAAATTTAGCTCTTCTGCTTTCGTCCTTGCATAAAATTTCTGTCTCCCCAAAGAAAAAAAAACTTTTATGAGGAACTTCTGTATTTGCACTAAAAGATTGTCACAAATCTTGCCACTACTACAAATCTTCACAGGGCCTGATTCATATATTTCTCTAAAAGATCAGCTCAAAAAAATGTCAAATGGAATAAAAGAAGCCTTATTTTGATTGCTAAAATACTTAGGGCGATAACTGGCTGCTTGTGATTTTTGTCAGCATTCAAGTATCATAAAAATGAAATACATGCAATATTTGCATTTGCTATATAGTGATATTTTTATCTTTCGTTCTTGGTAATATGAGAATTGATATCTTAATTTATAATCACCAGAAACTCCCTCTATAAAAATATAACCACAGACTGTGCAGTTGTTATATATAGTTTAATCTCTATATATGTGATGTATCACATTGCTGAGACATTGTTGCATGGAAAGATTCGGGATATTCCAGCCTTATTAACAGCGCCCAGATGCGGTAACGTTACCTGCCTCTGGCACAGGATGAGTCAGATCCTGCCTGTACCCATCTCTTCTAAAAGCTCAATGGGACCTTTGCCTGATTCACAGAGCAAGGTCAGGCTTTCAGTTATCTAGAAATTACACAGACTCAGACTCATTTCCTCCAGGATCCCAACTGCCTGATTAAAAGTATCAGCTGGGAGTTTGGACGTCTGTGCTCTGTTCCCTTATCTCTTTCCCCCCCTGTGATCAAGGGATGGCCATACCTATTAAGAGCAGCCCCCGTGCAGTGCCCAGAGCAAGGGTGGGTGCGTGCGGTCGGCCACTAGGTTTGAAAATTCAATGTTTCAGCTTCTCCGGGACAAAGCTGATACGAATGGTTTTGCAGTGGAGTTTCTGAACTTACTCTACAGTCTGCAAGATGGTCTAACACTGTTGTTGTCAGCTGGAAAGCAAAAAATGACCATTCTCCCATTATGTTCATAGTAAATTAGGAGTTAGCCGTCTAGAAGGAAATAGACCTACAGAGGAGAACGCCTGTCAAAGAAACAGACTTATGCGGAGAATGACTTGGACATGCATCAGAGTAAAAGCTCAGTAATATTTCATTGGAACTCTCTCTTCAGAAATGGGAAAGGTTGCTGAATGAACTGCTCTGAAAAGACTCCTGCTGACACTGGAGAAAATGTTACCAAGAATCAAAGTCTTAGAGGGAGAAGGTAGAAGATTTTGTCTTGGCAAACCTGTGCATTTCAGACACTCACACTGATGAAAGAAACTCTATGTCTTTGGCTGACTTAAGTGGAGCATGAAATCTTCCATTTTTCAGCACATTTTCCTCCTTGATATCACTTGAAATGATCAAAAGAGGAAGGCTGAGAATCCATGAAGGGAACTGGAGATTTAACAGCAGACTTCATTATTCTGAGTCTTAGCAGTTGAGAACAGCTTCGGCTGACCCAGAATCTTCTGCTTGGCTTTGGTTTTCCACCACCCATGTAGGACAGCAGGAATACTTGGAAGAGCCCTAGAGCAGCTGTCCTGCCAAAGAGGGAGACGTGCTGTAAGATGATCAGGTACCAGACGAGGGCTTGTCCCGATGTGCTGTTAGTGAAATTATATCAAGGCACTCTCCACGCTTTTTTTAAAGGGTGGGTCACTGCTGCTACTTTTGCTTCATTCCTGCAGGCGAGTGAATTTAAGAGTAGGAGACTGTATATGCAGACACTTTGCAGCTTTTTATCTGTATTTGTACATGTAAAGCACTGTCCCCTCCATGCTGCCTGCAAACTTCTCCAACGCAACAGTGATTATACTGAAGTAGTTTATTTTCATAAGAAAAAGGGAACAGGTTTAATGGCAAAAGGGCTTTAATAACATCCAATCCATAGAGCTGTCCAGTAGCTTTGGAGAAGAAATTCATCTCTGCAAATGGATAGCCACGGGCAGTGATGCACTGGGAAGTGCTACTGAATGTCTTTAGACTTTTACAGCAGCAGGAGAAAAGCAAATTTTGTTTGAAAAATCTGCATTTGATTTGTTTTTCAAGCTGAGAAGCAAGGTGATTTTTAGTTTAGATTAAGGTAAATAGCAGAGAAAGAAGGTTAAAAAAAAATCTTATAAGAGAGTAGAATATATCTCTCATGTCCCAAGTAGCCTCTGCCCTGCCATGAAGCAGGCTTGCAGGAGGGCACACACTTGCCACGGACAGGCTCTGCCTGAGACCCACTTCACATGTTGCAAGAGGAGAAATAACAGCCCAGATACTTGGCACTTCAGAAATCTTCATTTAAGAGATAATTTTGATGGTGGCTGAATATGACCTAGAAATGGGAGCTAAAAACCTCTTCTACCACAAGAGAGTTCCCCCATGTGGAGCTGCCAGAGCATGCTAAGGAATGATTCAGAGGAAGTGAGGTTCGGATGGGTTGTTTGTATAATTTTCTCTTCTGTTGTAGAGAAGACACAATAGTCTTCAAGAGAGCTCAGCTGAAGGCTGGGTCCAACGCCAAAGACTTGCAGACACAGATCCCATGTCAGGACTTCAGCTCTCACTGGAAGGGAAGGAGGGATCAGCCCTACGTTTTGGTTCATGTTGATGTATCCAAGATGCATTAACCCTCAGTCTTTTCTTCTTCTGGCCTTTGTGGTATTAAACAGGACAGATTTCCACTGAGGGTATAATACTGTGTTTTCCTACACAAACAGCAAAGGCCCCATTAGCAGATGGATGCTGTGCAGCAAGTGCTGAACCCCTCAACCCACTGAAGCTCACTCTGAGCTACCAGCACTGGGTTCACAGCAAGCACAGGGTATGAGCAGCTCTGAGGCACCTCCCTTCAGTGCTGGAAGGAAATTCATATTATCCATGGCAAGAAACCATTCTAGATCCTGGTGCACTGCAATATGTCATATATCCTACTCCCTAGTGTATAAAAAGAAAAATGGGAGAAGAGGGAAGTGAGATCTAGAGAATAATCCCACAAACAGCTGGTTTATACCCTGAAACATGCTCGTGTAGGAATTAGTACATTTGCCCACATGCATTCCTGCAGGCCAGATCAGCTTTCAGCAAGAAGATAATTTAGAAACAAACAGGCATTTTCTACTATTTATAAGACTTTCCTCTTAATGATTCATCTGCATTGCAGATGCAGTGTGTAGGATATACAGGATTTACTCATGCTTTTGTGTTTTTTAACTACAAAATGCGGTATTTTTCAAAGGAGAGGTTTTGATTTTGGACTTGGAAAATGGAATTACGAGCCCACAGAAGCAGAAAAGCATGAAAACATTGATCTAAGACTGAAAACTTAAAATTCAAAGAACCCAGAAGATTCCTACTCCACACTGACTTAGGACTAGCTTTTGAGGCACATGGAAATTTCATTTTTACCTGTCTTTATCAATAATGTGATCTCAATGGATATAGGGGGCCTAAGCCTCAGGACTGACAGGATGCTCAGGTTCCAACAGATCCAGTGGGATAACCCCTAAAATACAGGATGTCCCATATGGGATTGTCAACGTAGCTTCCTCTGAAGCATTCCTTAGCATCTTCTGGTGGTCCAGCATGGATGGCCTCCTCCAACCACAGCTTTCAGCTCTTCCCATATTTCTGTGGTAGCTGGATTTACCGTAGCTTCCTCTGAAGCATTCCTTAGCATCCTCTGGTGGTCCAGCATGGATGGCCTTCTCCATCCACAGTTTTCAGCTCTTCCCATATTTCTGTGGTAGCTGGATTTACATAATTAGAAATATAAATACACACACGCACACGCATATATATATATACATAATTAGAAATATAAATACACACACGCATATATATATACACACACACTAGTATTAGTAGCCCAAATTGTCTGAAAAAGTGACTTCAGCTCATTCTAGGCACATGCAGCTTGGCTGCACAGTAAGTCTGGGAGTTACACGTATTACAGTTTCCCTGTCCCCACTCAGTTCAATGTCCGTGGTTTAAAATGAAGCATTAGGCATACATTGTTCAGGTGAGTTTATTCAAATACAACAACAGCAAAATAACAGGATTCCCAGAAGAAAATGACCTTCTTTTCCACAAAACAGGGGAGAGAAAAAACATTAGTATCATAGATGACAAATTTTGACAAAAAAATTTTTAATTTCATTACTCCCAAGTTCAGCTACTGAAAGCCTTTGATATTTGTCAGAGAATTTGGTATTCTCTGGAGAATTCTTTAGAGTACTAAATACTCAGGGAATGAGTCACAGCCCATAGTGTAAGTCACAGGGCCAGAGCTCATCCATTGTCCTCTCTCTGGGTCCTACCCTGCCTCACCATAACTTCTGGACAACCTCAGTTTTATTAATGGGACTGGTTGCAGACCAAGGTATTATTGAAACTGATGTAACTTTTCAGTGTGTTATATAGCAGTTGTACCACAAATACAGACTACAGTTAAAAACTAACCAAATTAAGCTTAAAACTGTCTCATCAAAGGAAAAATGTAAAGCATTGCCAAATAATTCTTGACTTCACTCTCCAGGCCTTATAGTATTTTACTGCAGCAAGAATTACAGTCATAAACCAGAATTATTTCACTTGCTAAAGTTCCTAAACTAATACCTACAAAATTATGGCAAATATCATCAAAGCACCTATTTTGGCTCTCCTCAGGAAAGCACATTGTCCCCTGCTTAGAGCTGTATTCCTGTCTAAGTGCTTTCCTGAGGCAGAGCCCAAACAATGCCCTGATGAAGCAGGTAAAATTCCAGAGGCTTTTGACCTCCCCAGCTCTTTGTGAGATCTCTCAAAATACAAACAGATCATCAGACTCTTCAAAATTACCTAGATGGCTCACTCAAGCTACATGGGTTTTCCATTGAACATATTGACTGAAAAGACTGTGTTGAGGATAAAATTTACTTCCCATGCTATTTATTTCTCTGGTTTATAATTTGTTTGAAAAACTACAATTCTTGAAACAACTTGACTTCGTCGTCCTCGTCGCTGTCGGTTACGTTGATGAAGTGGACACTGGAGGGAGTAGATGGAGCTGACAGAACCTCCTCCAACGTTCCGATGTCCAGCTGTGGCAGGGGGCTTAAATATCTCTCCTCCTTGCAGCTGCTGTAACAGGACACTACTTCAAGGCTCTCGCAGGGGCGACGGTCCTCACGGATGCTTTCTCCTGGGTATTCCTTGAAAGGATAGTTTCCGTCCAGGGCTGAAAACATCATTTCCTGTCGTTGGTACCTGTCTTCATAAAAGCCGAGGCATTGAGGCAGTGAGCTGGAGAAATTCCCACAGCCAAATGGAGGTCGGCTGAATGGGCACGTGCTGCAATGAAAGAGAATGAAAGTTGGATTTCAGAAATGCAGGTTGCCTGGACTTCCAGGCAGCTAAGAAAAACAGAATGACACTAATGTTCCATGTTAGTCAGCTTATCCTGTTGAAATATTCAAACCACACATACTTTAAAACCATGCCTAATTTAAACACTGTGGCCGTAACAAGAGCTGTGCACAGATTCTGTATCTGTGCGTACGCGCCTCTTCACGCTTGATACAGCAGGATGTTGTTTGGAGAACAAACACAAACCCCAGAGTATTTATCAAAAAAATAATCTCATAGATAAACTAGCATCTGATAAGCCTGCGGTATGTTAACTGACATATTCAGAACAGTAAAACAAAGCATCAAAAGTCACTTTGTGTCATTTCTGTATGCCAAAATTTGTGACAGAGCTGGGGTCAAACGCTCTGATTTATTCTTGGAGTGAACTCTTGCGTCGTTACATTGTTGTTGAACAGGAGGACTGAGAGAATTCTCGTGCCCCATGTGTGTTGTCAATGTTACTATTTAAAGAATGTACGGTGATAAATTTTTAAAAAGCAACCACATAGTAGATTGCATGAAAAAACTATGGCAAATGTAACTGTATTCCTCTGGTGTCAGAAGTCTGAATTTTTATTCTGATGCAGAATGACACACATATTTTAATTTACAGTGTTATAGAAATTCACTACATTGTTAAGAAAACAAAGTGTATGAAGAAGTAATAGAGCTCTACAGTGCAGACACCATAAAGACATCAATACAATCTCTATTAAGGTTTCAAGGAGACTACTTATCTTTTCAATCTAACATTTAAATTTTTTGTGCATGAAGCTGCATACGTACCTTTGCACTGTCAATGCTGCACAGAAATTATGATTCTTGTACGCAAGAAATGAGTTTATAGGAATGTGAACTTATAAATTATTGTATTTGAAAGAACCTGACATTAGCAATGTTGGCAACCTTTAGGAGTCCATTAACATGTCATCTCAGAACCATATTTTATGCTACAAGAACACTCTTCTCCCCGAGAGGCCTCACAAAACTGCCTAATTTCAGAGACCAAGGGCTAAGCAAAGTTCATCTTTAGCAATTTCGGGAATATGTGTCCTGTGTTTCTTTAAAGGACTCCAAAAATAGAACTATCTTGTATTGCACTTATCAGTTCATTAAGTTATTTTGAGGTTGATGGGTCATCATCAGCCCTAATTTATGACCACGTAATCTTATTGCCATAGGAACATGTTGGTTGTTGCTATTAGTAGCAATGAGCAGTGTATTAAAGGGCAGTATTTAAGTCTAATAGTCATAATAATTTGTTATTATGTTTGATATTGCACAGTCATGAAAGAAAAATGATGCCTTACAAAGAATAAGCACCATTAGGCCACCAGACTTCCTGCATTTGAGAAGGCACCTGCTGCTGGGAGGGCACTGGGGCTCTCTGTGCATGCTTAGCTTAGGAAATACTCACGGGATATTACATCTGTTGGCCTGTGAGTTCTTTGATTAGGTGATCTCTGATTGACTGCCCAGAGACCACAAAGTAAAAACTAGGAAATACTACTTACATAACAATTCTGGAGACATTTCCCACCAGGCTGGATTTCAGAAATATTGGTAGTTATGACAGCTGCAATCATAGTACCCAGGAGACATCTCACACACTTACTTTAATTCCATCCAATCCTTTTCAAAATATACTTCCACTATCTCTACCTAATGCTTTTCTGTAGAAATCAACTGCACTTAGGTGCACAAAGTAGGGAGGAGATATTTCTATTTACTGTGGGCTTGGGAGTGCCAATTACTGCAATAGCACTGTGGAGCCTTCAATAACTGCACATATATTACGAGCAGCCTCAGGCCAGCAGGTCCCACCACACAGGACCTATAGGAAGGTAAGAGCATCTTTCCTTCTAAATGATCCATCTACTTTCTGTAAGTCAAAAGACACTCTGCCTCTTAGCATTTGCTCTTACTGGTATTGAAACGAAGGGTTTCATTACCTTGATGGGAAATAGTGAGGTCCAGGTACAAAGTAAGGGTGGTAAAATGGAAACCGAGGAGGTACTCCAAACAGGCTGGATGGCTGACCAATGGGAGGAGGCTCGTAGAGACGTGTGTGAAGACAAGGGGTAGCCTGGGGAAGAGGTACACCTCTAGGGAAAATAGGAACCCCTGGGTACTCCTTTGGGGGCTCACTATTAGAGACAGAAAATCTGCTGTTATTGGTGGTTATGTTACTTGGGTTTCTGCTCTCAATGAAAACTGGTGTACGTCTCTTCAGAGAACAATTGAGCCCAGATGGTACATCAAGAGCTTCTGCCTGAGCAGGTTTAGCAAAGTGCTGTAGGGGAATGACAGGGCTCAGGGCCAGGGTTGGAGCTGGAACAGGCACTGATGGGGTGCTTGTACTGGTAGTCTGGAAAAGAGTGATTGGACCAGCATGTTGAATGGAAGAAGCCGGCAGACGGATGGCAGGAGGAGCTTCACCTTTAGGAAACAGAACAGTTATTTATCAGACATGAATAGAGGAAGAGATTTCATAAACAGCAGCATAGCAGAACAGAGCCAGAGCCAGAACCATTCCCCTCAAAACACTTTCCATCATTACTTCCCCGCAACTCACAGTCACACACCACTTGGCCAACATGTGTTCTGACAGATGGGCCTGGAGCCCACACATTCAACCTTCCTTCTACAGAAACCCAAGGTAAAAGAAGAACTAATTGGCACTAGTGGGTGTTAAGGCTATGAGGTTGGTGAGGGCTGTGTCTTGTCTTCATATGGCCACAAAATGGGGCTGGAGCGTGCATTTAGCACCTGAAGCTCAGAAAACCTCCCAAGTCTATTAGCTGAGCTGGAGTGAACCAAATCCTTGCCAAATCCTCGCCAAATCTGTGTGGTGCCAAAGCTGCAGTGAAGAGCAGAGCGACAGTTAAAACACCCTACTCTCTGATATGTTTTTCTTATTTGTTTCACCAATGAACATACCTGCTAGCTGGAATGTACACTTTCAAATCACATCTCACGTCAACAGGGCTGCCTTTATACAGGAAGATTTCAAAACACATTGCGTAAGTATTTTCAAACCCCACTACCTAGTCTAAGAGTCTAAATTCCAAGTCACCAGGACTTAAATGCATTTAGATTTTTACAGTTTATATTTAAGAATCATTTCAACCACAATAGGATAGTAAACTCTAGAATGAAACATAGTAGCATCTGAGGACAAAATAACATTATAAAATATACTTGGGTAAGAAAACAAAGAATACTCAATTCAGTCAAATTTACAGAAGTATTTGAGAAAGGATCACATCACTGTCTCAGAATTTTGGAACAAAGCTGAGTTTTCTCTTTTACATCTCTGAATATTACCACACAGCATAAACAGGTGTTTTTCTTGCCTCATGAAAAAGATAACAGCCCTTGTGAGTATGCTTAAAGATAAAAACGCCGTTCCCTGGATCTAAGCTATTTGTTGTTGAAATCTGCTGTGCATGCACTGACAGAGCCAGAGCTGCCACTACAAACCCTGCAGGTCAGCTACTATACTTGACTGTGGGCTCTCCTACTACACCCTATTTCACTGTCCATATTGAATTCTTATAAAAATGAGGATCTTTCCAGGTCAGGTGCAACTTTTTAATGCATTCCTTCTGTAACTATATTTTTGTTTGTATAAAAGCTGAGTTATGTACGCTCAAACCACGGGCATGCACAAGTTCATAACAACTACCTAGAGAACTGTTGCAGGTGTGCATAGACACCTAAGTAAATGTTCATGGAAATTGTGCAAAGGAAAAATTTCTTAGATTTAGTGACTGCCCTGATATTGCAGCACACACTAACACCCTACGAACTTCCTTTCTGATGACCTTGTTGACAATTCTATCTGCTGTTTCTCATCAGCAGTCTCACTCTAGAGCAGTGGTGCCCTCTACCAAGGAACACTAGGTGGAGGTGCCATGGACTATGCTAATGAGCTTTTTCAGGCTTAGCAGAGCAGGGCTGAGCACTGGCACAGTTAGACCTGGGGAGGTAAGATATATGTGAGGTGGAGACAGAACAAGAACCAGAAACAGCTGTAGCTCAACAGGAAGCACGTGTTGAGTAATAAAGATCCAAAAAGACCAAGAGGTAGGAGGAGGGAACCAGGAGCTACAAAGGAATCTGTGGGCAATGAAGAAGCCAGAAGAATTTAAGAGGCTGAGAAAGCAGTAGGTAGAGACTAAGAGATAGAAATAGTGGTGTTGAGAAAGACTGAGAAATTGTTTTAACTATATCTATACTGTATATATAACTTTCACTACAATAGGTAAATTCCAAATTTTTAGAATCATTTGCTACTGAAAACTCACAGACTGGATGTCCAATACTGGTCTTAACATTGGGGATGACAACAGAGTAAGCAGATGCCTGGAAGGGACCAATGGCAGTTGGACTTGTAGTGATGATAGTCTGAGTAGTGCCGGAAAATACAGCAGAGACAGGCAGTTGGAAGCGCTTCCTTTTGCCTGGTCGTGGTTGATAAACCCATCCTGTCAGAGATGAAAAAAGATGCAGACATCCAATTTTTGGGATGGTCTCATTCATTATGTAAAGCTATGATACCTGTAATTCTGAAGTATCTAAAAAAATGAGTCCAAAACCTGCTCCTACAGTCAATGGCAAAACTCTCATTTGTTTCAGTGAGCAAATGGGGCATTTCATCAGAGGTGGAAATTAAATGGACATATTTGGGCATGATTTTTATGTTACTAAATTCTAACTGTTTGTGAGACAAATACAGAACAGCGAGGAGTGACATGGCACTGCTGAGGAAGGCATGTTAAGGAGAACATGACACTGCACCATGGGCTTTCAGTGTGGAAGTATTTTACAGTGTGACTGTGTTCAAAATGTGGATCTTTCCTGATTGATCCCTTAACCCCTTACATTTCACATATACCTGCAGGTTGCAAGAGACAATGGAAAATATGACCCACTTGGAAACCTGTATAGATTTTGGAGCAGTACATTTGCCTTTGACTTACAACAGTAACCAAACACTATCAGATGTATCAATATATTATGAATTTACACTGTGCAGCTTTTTTTTCTTACACCAGGTACTCTTAATGCTACTTTAAAGAAACTTTTTTTTTTTTTTTTTTTTTAATTTTGCAGTGTGCAGGGAGAGAGGGAAAACGCTGCTCTTATCTTTTGCTTGTTTATGATAGATTTGTCAGATCTTGTCTACCAGGATTAGCCATAATCACAAACTAGCAGGATTATGGCAACAGAAAGGATTACAACATGTGGTATCTCAACAGCTTTTAAAAAGGTTCTTCAAAGTACTTATGATTTGTTTTATTGAACTATAGTGTTATGCAGAAATTAATTTGTTAAGGGTACGTATTTTTAACACTTGACAAGAGGCTGAGAAACAACATCTTTTGCACTATTATTTATGAATCTCAAGTCTACATGTTGGAGAATCCTACAGAATACAATGCTGCTTGTGTTTCCTGTGGCATTTCCCTTTCCTGCCTGTGGGAATGGATGCATGTGTCACCACAGGCCACCTGGGCAGAAATTTCTGGACCATGTAAAATGATGCAGCAGGCCATGTTCACAATAAACTCACTACCTGACTTCTAAAGCATTCAGAAGAGCTTCTGGAGCTGGGGTGGCCTAAGACAATGAAAAACATTAGAGTCTATGAAGGATGAAACATCATTTTGGATGCTTAAAAAAATTAATATGCTTTCAGGCACGAGAAAGCTGACAGAAGGACTGTGTGCTTGAGATTTTTGTAATTTTTTTCCAACTCTATTACTTGCTTTAATGAAAGAGACCCATTTTTCAAAACATCTTGCACTTCTAAAACATTCAGGTAAATAAATACTTGTTTACCAGGAAATTCCTCTCTGTGCCTTTGTTTTATTTTCTGAGCTTCATCATAATAGGGCTGCTTCTGCTCCTCAGTCAGTTTGCTCCACTCCAATCCGAGCTGCACACTGATTTCTGCATTATTGGCAGTTGGGTTAGCTTTTGCTAGGGCGGGCCGATGAATCCTAGCCCACACCATAAATGCGTTCATTGGACGCTTCACGTGGCCACTTTTGTCCTTGCTAAATGGAGTATCTGGCATACCTGTGCAACAAAACGAGGAAAGATGATCATCTTCCAGGCAATATATGCAATACAGGTTACTTGCAATAGTACATCAAGAGTCAGCAGCAGTCAAAAGAATCACTAGAGCTTTGGAACGCATTAAACTCAATGCCCATTTGGAGTGCAGTTCCTAGAAAAATAACTAAGGCTAAAGGAGTATCTTCCACAAACCTTCACTGAACCACCGCATAAGGAATCATTTACCTGGCTTTTTGTGTATCTTATTATTATTTTTTTTTTAATATGAAACATATGGGGTGCTAACACACTGGTTTAGGTTTCACTTGGTTAGACTGTTTTCTTATGGATTTATAAACTGGTGAATTTATAAAGTAAACATTGTATAGCGTAGACCATGTCACTGCAAATTTGTCATCACCACCAGAACTATGTATCAAAAGCCCTAACGATGCAGGCTTATAAATAAACTCTTTCATATTATCAATAAAGGCCAAAAGTCTTCTAGTCTTTAAGCCCTCACTTTCAATCATTAATTTTGAAAGCCTAGAAATCTCATTTAACATGTCCAAATTTTCAATCAACGTATCATTGCTTCATAGCTTTAAAAATCAAGATTCCTGACCTTAAACTTGCAATCACAGCTCAATGCAATTCTGAACTGTTATAAGGGCTTTAACGTAATCAGGGAGCAAGTGGACAAAACTGCATTGATTTTAACCACTGGAGAACTCTGTGCTGCTCTATGTTTATATCTTACGCTGATGAGTAAATTAAGTTTGTACAACAAAAGCTTGTAATTTATAAGTAAGTTTGTACAAAGACCAAGTGTGTTGTACAAACTCCAGGCATGGTTCTTTAACACGACCCTTCCACTTGTGTTCTCCTACATGACAACCTGCCAACTGTGTGCCGCTTACTGAACCCTTAACGTAATACCTGAATCGGAGGGCAGTACTGTGAGGGGTACATTTTTAGTTTCTATCTTTACTGAAGGTTCCAATAAAGGCTGCATTTTAAGAGGCACTTGTTTCACCGGCACTTGGGTCAAATGGATCAGCTCTGGCGGCAGAGGGCCTTGGATCTCTATGCGGGTCCCGGGAGGTAAGGGGTGCAACACAACCGGGATCTTCAGGTCTTCAGGAAGAATCCCAAGCCCCTTGCTCTGCTGCGCCTTGTGTTCGGCAGGGCTGGCATGAGCAGGCCCACACAGGGAGCCCGCCGGGGCATCCTCCTTTTCCACCTTCACCCTGCCGGCCTCGAAGGCCCCCTCAGGTGGCTCGGCTTTGACAGGAGCTCCTCTCCAGGCCCCCTCAGGTGGCTCGGCTTTGACAGGAGCTCCTCTCCAGGCCCCCTCAGGTGGCTCGGCTTTGACAGGAGCTCCTCTCCAGGCCCCCTCAGGTGGCTCGGCTTTGACAGCAGCTCCTCTCCAGGCCCCCTCAGGTGGCTCGGCTTTGACAGCAGCTCCTCTCCAGGGCTCCTTCCCATTGCCCCTGTTCTCCAGCACCTTCATCTCTTTGGGGCTTCCTCCACCGCCCTGTTCAGGCTCCCTTTCCTTCTTGATGGTGACGCGGGCCCCTTCTTCCCCTCCCCACGGAGCTGGGAAGCGCCTGAAGTCGCCCCTTGACTCTCTGCTTTCCCCGAGGCTGCCGTGGCCACCCCCCTCCTCCGGCTCAGCCTTCTCCACTTTGAAGTGCACCACCCTGTGAGGGCCCTTGGTTTCCTCCTGCGCGGGGGGCGGCGGCGGGGCCGGCGGCGGCGGAGGGCGGTAGAGGCCCGGTGGCGGTTCCCGGGGAGCCTGGGAGCGGAGCGCTGCCCCTCTGCTGCTCCTCCGCTCCATCCCGCCGCCGACCGTTTGCCGCCCGCGGCCGTTGGGCCAACGTTAGCCCGCTGCCCTCGCGCCGCCGCCCGCCAACGGGCGTGCAGCCATCCCGCCCGCCCGCCGCTGCGCGACGCGGTCGCCATGGAGACCCGCTCTAACCATAGAGAGGTCCGCCCGGTGGCCCAGAGGGGCCCGTCGTCTCTGTATTCTCGGGGGTGGGGAGAGAAGGGAGAGGGCGCCCGGAGCTTCCGCTTCCGCCCTGGCCATGCTGGGGTGGCGGCGGGCGGTGTCGGCCATCGCTGCGCGGTGTGCGCGCCGCCTCTCCATGGCCAAGAGCAAGTTCGAGTACGTGCGGGACTTCGAGACGGACGACACCTGTCTGCCCAACTGCTGGATAGTGGTCCGGCTGGACGGCCGCAACTTCCACAGGTGTAAAAGGCCGGGCGGGGCAGCCAACGGCGGGGGCGC